CCGACCATCGAAACTTGGCTTAAGATGCGCGCGCCGCCTCCCCGTGTCCTAGCAGGCCCCCCGCCCGGCCCAAGTTTGAGGCGCCGCATCAGGTTACACCCTCAACGTCCTCCCTCACTTCAATATCTCCCGCCAAACCTACAAGGGTCCCTTTCCGCTGCCGAAAAAAACCACCCCCAATCGCCCCCTTTGCCCTTTGCCCGTTGGAACCATTGATTTTTAGGCGTCCTCGGCCAGGGGGTAGAGGTCGACGGCGCCGGCGCCAAACACGCGGCAGACCATACCGCACTCGGCCCTGGTCTTTGGGGCTCTAAGCTCTTAGTCCGGTCTGTGTGCCTGCGTGCCGCTGCCATCGAGTCCATCGTCGTCTCTTCTTTTGCTCCCGTCATCCTTGCGCTGCCGTGCTCACTTAAACGAACCCAAAAAGCCCGCAGCCATAAAGACCAGACGAAATGCTCGCCCGCTCGGACGCGGCAGCGTGTACATATCTCGATGACGGTCTTGCCCCCTTTCTTTGGCGTGGGCGGGAGGCGTGCTCGTGGCAATGGTTGCATTCGTCCAACACCGGAGCCGCGGGGGTGCAGCCTAATCTTGATTTGCATTCCAGTGTGTTGGCTATTTCCAAAGCAGACAATCTGCCGAGGCACACTCACACAGACAAATCCTCTTAAGCCGCGGACGCTTTACTGGCTCCAGCAGTTCTCCGGAGAAATAATCACTCGCTTCACCTGGTCAATGACGGTAGAGCGAAAAGGTCTCTGCCGTGCCGCGATGTTCCCCGTTGCCTGACCCCGGGCTTCCGAAAACACACACAAAGTCCAGCGCGGGAGAGGCTAGAGTTTACAATAGTAGACCATTCATGAGTACTCTTCTCCCTCGGCAAGCAAGCATCTGATACCCAGCTGCTGTGCCTTGGTTAAACTCCGGGGAAGGTCCGTCAGAGTTCGCGACCAGCGCGGTTGTTGGCCACTCCCCGTCGTGCGCCGTCCAATTCACATGTTCCGGTCGGAGGAGATGCTGGGTACTCTCCGGCGCCGTGTTAGTCCTCCCCCCAGCTCCGCGACTAAGCTCGGCGCACATCGTGAAGCACCGTCACGATACACCACATGACAAGACGCCGACGTTCGTAATCATCACGCAGCTTCTCTTGCCTTACCCGTAAAAAGGGCCAATCCGGAGAAGGTCATGCAAACTCTCACGTCTCATGCTGCAGTGCGCATGCGCGATGCTGCACCGGGCGACGCCTTGCAGAAGGTTGCGGGAGGCGACTCCGGCTGACTCTCTCTCTCAGATTTGAGATTCCTCACTTACTGATTGAACAACTTCAATATGAGGATGCATGCCGGCTTGGCTGCGTTTGTTCTGACCACCCGCCGCGCGGTCAGCTGGGTTTCGTCCTCTGTCATCGCATGCACGCCGAATCGCTCCCGCAAAAAAAGCAAAAATGCACTTGGTGGTTAAGGTGTTGCTGGAAAAAGTCAATTCGCCCATCTGCAAGCCAACTCCAAGCGGAGCAGCAGATAGCAAGCACACCGCAGGTCGACGGCCAAAAACAAGATTTGGCGTCCAAAGGTCCGATAGGTAAGCGATTCCCCTGGAGGGTGGTCTCCTCCATCGGCAGCAGGGGACAGGCGAGGTCGCCGCAGTGATTAGTTTTACCCGCATCTGATAGACGAAGTTTTTATCTCCAGCCACTATCCCCCCGACCTTCTGAACGGTCTGCATCTGCAAAAAGCGACGATCAAAGACGAGAGTGAGGCAAGTGAGGTTCCGCACGGCGACGGCACTAGGGCACGCCTCACCTCGGAATGCCATCGTGCCGGCCGCTGGTGAAGTCTTGGCCGTGCCCGCCCCGCCGAGCGAGACGCCCACCCGCACGACGACAGACGACGACGATCGACGTGGAGGCTCTTTGTTGTTGACCACCTCCAGAGTCTGTCGCGCGATTGGCGAATGGGTTAATGAGGGTGACGGTGCGCGGTCCCTCGGTAGAGATGGAGGGGGGCCAGAGGAGAGGGGCAAAGCTGCGAGAGGGTGGGTGGTAATGCATGCATGCATACGAAAGGGATGGGATGGGTTGGGTTGGGATCAGAGAGGATACGAGGCCGCAGGGCCGTCACATGAAGCCGCTGGGCGGAACTCCCCCCCTCTCTGGTATGCGGTTACGAGGCGGTCTTGTCAGTCGGGTCACGTTGTTGCGGCGGATAAGTTAATCCATTGATGGTGATGCCCATATCGAGGTTGGCAGCGAGCTTCGCTCACTACGGTGGTAGATACGATCATGAATCTACCCAGAGGACGTGGGTTGATAACAATGCTCCTACCCGAGACCCATCAATATCTACCTATGGAGCCTCTTCATCGGCTCGTGCACCGCGCTACGGATACACTAAAGAGAAAACTCCAAAAGTCGCCATCGCGGAGGCTAGTGATGCACCCGCAACGCGGACCCAGATACGCGATGTGAGCTGATTTTTTGGGGACCTTGGGGGACGAACCACCCACTGACGTCCTCGACTTGGGATTTCTGCGGAGGGGGGCCTCCAGACGGCACGTACAACCGTGGCGGGTCGCAGATGGCGATGTGACCTGTTAATAGCGGGCGGTGGCCATGGCCGTATTGCCGGCGATGCCTGGCAGAAGAAGCCTCATCTAGCGAACTGCACGCTTCTGGCATTTCGGTGAGATTCGGTGAGAGCTCTTGCCTCGGTGTAGATACTAACACACGTCTGTAGTCTACATGTCTAGCTGGCAGAGGCACAATAACAGCAATTCAATTACTAACGTTCGTATCCACGCAACCGAAGAGACTTGTCAATGCAACAGCAGCATACGACTTGCTAAAAATCACAGCAAGCAGTTCCATCGCCTTCGTGTCGTTCGTCCCCGGCATAGATCCGCCCGCTCGGTAGGCATAACTCTAAAATCCCAGCTGAACCAACCGGGCGAATTTCTTCTCAAGCCATAACACCTAGGACATATCGCCATCAAACATCACCTCACAACGCATCGCCCCAAAAGCTTCTATTTCTTCACAACGCCGAACTCGATCGCCGACCAGTATTCCATGCCTTGCATCACCGTGCTGGCATCGGCGGTGTCAAAATCTCACCCCCGCTTTCCACACTTACACGTCGATTCCCAACCTCCCCTCGCGCCACTTCTGCATCGATAAGAGAGAGTTGAGGGGCACAGCAGCGATCCCCGGACGCGTCTGCCACTTCTTTACCCCGCTGCCACCGCCGTAGGCTTTCCCCAAAAAAGAGCGTTCCCAAGGATTATTTGGCTCATGCTCCACCACACACGACTAATAAGTACCCGCGGGTGACCTCTGCGGATCGCTTTGCAGCGCAGGCGAGGCTTCACGACAGTGGTTCGAAGGCGGGGGCAAAAGGCGCCTGCAGGAATCCCACTGCAGCACAAGGTTCACGCGCCGCCGGCGAAGGTTGGCGGGTGGGGAAGCGGCCTTGTGATGTCTGTGATGGGTGACAGCCTGCTGCGGCGTGGGATGGCGGTTGGGTTCGCTCGACGTGAAGCAAAAGTGGCTGTCTCAAAATCTGAAGCTGTATCCAGCAGTGAGAACTCTTCAGCCCGCATGATAGCCTACCATGGACGCCTTGAATGGCGCACATGCTCACCGCGTGCCATCTGGAAACTCTCGGTGAGCGCCAGATATAGCGCCCTATCGAGCATCAATCTATCGGCCGAAAGATCTGACAACGCAGACGCAAGTGTATGGTCATACTGACGATGCGCGACCAGGTCAGGCGTTGCCGACGTATCACCAACAAAACCAACCACCTGCCTTATGCCTTATCCAAAACGTGGGGGGGAAGCACCTGTCCAAGACATCCATCCTTGCCGAAACTTCCATGAACCGGTTTTCTTTGTCGGTAGAGATATGGGTTTCTGTGTAATTGTTGCACACCGCATGTCCTGTGGTCAACCGCTGTTTTGCTTTTGCATGCTGTGCTACCGCGAGAGGATCCCTGATACACGACGATCAAAGAACGGTGCATAGGTTTGCAGGCTTCTGGAGTCGAGGCAATCGCGGTCTGGGAAACGTCCATCTATCTCTAATACTCTCCAAGGCTTCCCACGATTGTCGTCGGGTTGGAGGGAGGGCAGATCGGCCACGGGGTGCTGTCCCGCCGAAGCCGCCAGCGCGGGGTATGGGCCCTGCTCACGGCGCTTGAACACCCCCGCAAAGGACCGGGCGCTATCAGATCGCCCGCCATGCCCTTCTTTCGCCCTTTTCCTTAACCAACACGTCCCACGTCAAACTTCAATGCGACCCTTGGGCAAACATCGCGGCCTTCAATCTGCGTAGTTCGCAAACAGACTCTCGCGATGATAGAACGAAGTCGTTACCCCCTTACCTCTCCACAAAGGCCATGCTGGATCGAGATGATGCAAGGATGCTTCAACTTCCACACAGCAGATTCAGGGGCAAAAAAAGGGGACGCTATGAACGTCCCGCGTCCTGAACAGGCCCGGCCCGGGACCTGGAACAGCATTCTTAATTCCGGATCAACGTCGGTGCGGTGCTTCAACCGTCATGTCGCGACGCCGTCAATGCCCACGTGCTCAAGCCACGGGATCTCATCGCGACATCTCATCCTGACCTCTCTCAACATATCCGCCCTTTTCCCCCTCTGAGAGCGTTGTGTTGTTTGTAAATGTTCCGACTGCGAGTGCAATCATTCTTACTCTAATTTTCCTTTTCTCGTCTGCTTAGATAGAAAGGGGGAGGGCTGCGTTTGCTGGTTCGTCCTAGACTGTTGTCGTTCCATTCCGCCCGTCGGGGGGAAAGTCTCGCTCCCACTCCGTGCCGGAGACCACGCCCGCGAAACTCCGCCGTTACACCGAAAGACCTCACTGCCGCGCCGTGCTCATCGCGGACATCCCGGATCTTCCGGTCAACTTCACACTACCTCATCCTTCACTCACTCTTACGGACTGGGCGTCACACCCAGGCTCATCTCATTCAACCGCCCAAGATGCGTTTCCACTGCATGCCCCTTCTCTACGTCATCTCCTTCTTCCTGCTCGCGTCAGCCCTCTTCTCAGTCCTCCTCTCGCTGGCTCCCTGCTTCGTCAAGTCCAAAAACCACTGCTACCGCGGCTATGAATCCCACCACTCCTTCGACGTCGACAAGGCCCTCCACGCCGAGTGGATGAAGTCCATCCCGGACGACGCCAACCTCACCTCCCTCTCCATCCCGGGCACCCACGACACAATGACCTACTCCCTCCGCAACCAGGTCTTCCAGTGCCAGAACCACAACCTCTCCGCCCAGCTCAACGCCGGCATGCGCTACCTCGACATCCGCGGCCGCCTCGTCAACGACTCCATCCAGATCTACCACGCCTCCATGGCCACCGGCTACTCCTACACAAACGTCCTGCTCACCCTCTTCGACTTCCTCGAGGCCCACCCCTCCGAGACCGTCGTCATGCGCCTCAAGGAGGAAGGCCGGCCCCTCGGCAACAACACAATGACCTTCGAGGACGCCTTCAACATCTACCTCCACAACGACACCCTCACTTCCGCCGGCGCCCAGGCCCACTTCCACAAGCACAACCCGCGCAAGCCCTTCCCCGCCCTCGGCGCGCTGCGCTCCAAGATCTTCCTCCTGCAGAACTTCCCCTCCAAGGGCCCCAAGTCCCCCTACGGCGTCATCTGGGAGTCCTCCGACATGGTCCTCGAGGACCTCTGGATCATCCCCAGCATGGAGCACCTCTACATGAAGTGGGAGGCCATCGAGAACGCGCTCAAGCGCGCCGCCACCGCCAAGCCCAACAACCGCGTGCTCTACCTCGCGCACCTGAGCGCTTCTGTGGGTGTGCTGCCCATCGAGGCCGCGGCGGGCAACCTCAACCACACGGTCGCCGGCATGAACGACCGCACCGGCGACTGGCTCGCCGAGACGGCGGGCGGCGCGGACGCGGGCAAAACGGGCATCGTCATCATGGACTTCCCCGGCCGGGCGCTGGTGGACGAGGTCCTGGCGCGGAATACGGCGCTGGCGGACCGTAGCGCCGAGTTGTGAAGGCCCGGCGTTTGGCAGTAATCACACACACCCCAAAAACAAGAAACAGAAAAAAAAACGGAAATCCCAGTCGCAAAACTGTGTGCTTCATCATTAATTGGTCCCGTCGTCATCATCACACTGTCGTTGTCGTCATCCATCTACACCCCCCCTTGGGTCCACTACGCTTCGTTCACAGCACGCGCTAGAGACAGAGACGCTGCGACTGTTGCACTCTTACAACCATCAAAGCTCCACCGGCCAATGTCGTTTTCGGAGGCACGGAGAAACGGACTGTGTTGGTCGGTTTGCTGCGGTCTTTTCCCCCCTCCTTGATTCGCGGCCTGCGGGTCCGTCCCCCGACCGCGCGCACGCGTCGCCGAGATGAGGATCTTCGGCCGGGCTGGGAGGGGCGGCCACCTTAGCGTCGGATGCCCGCCGATCCGCCTCTAGCCCGAAACACGCCGGCGCCGGCGCAGCGTTCTTTTTTTTTTTTTTTTTTTTTTTTTTTTTTTTTTTTTTCCTACCTTCGATTTGGTGCTCCTCTTTTTCCCTCCCGTTGGTGTGTTCACAACCGCTCGTTCGTTGGACGACACTTCTCCTTGAGCTCCCTAGCCGACGACACTAGATCCGGGCGGCTGTTTGTTATTTTCCTCTGGCGGCTTTTTCTCTGTCGATACCCAATCGCTATTCGTTCTAGAAATCGGGCCGTTGAGGCGAGGGAAACGTGTGGTTCTGTTCGCGTGTTTTCAAAACGGTGGTTTAGTTCGTGATCCGGGAGGACTCATCGGATCTCGTTTGGTTTCTTGGAAGCGATCTCGATCATAGACGCAAGCGACGTTACTAGTCACAGTGTCACACCAAAAAGGTCTTGTCGACGGCGGATGTGGCCGCTTCTCATTGCCTGCTTGCTCTCCCTTTCCCCTTCGCGTTTGTGCCCCCACACAATCTCTCTTAGCTTCTTTTACACACGCCCCCCACCCACCAAACCTCCCTTGCCGCCGCCAACTACGCAAGTGGCGGTTTCAGCTTCACTTGCCCATCTCGCCAAAACTGCCATGTTTTTGGGAATGGGTGATGAGGGAAAATTTGATCGTCAGGTACCGGGACGGGTGCATCGGAAACTTTTATGGAGCTGGAAAAAAAGGGGATCTTCATTAGCCGTTCGTTTCGAGGCGAAGCGGAAAGGGCAGGCACGCGAGTAATTTGGGTTTCCTGGGTTCCTGGGTCTTTTCCCGGGGTGGCGGAGAAACAGGGCTGGCGGCTGAGGGGTTTGGGAGCTGTCCAGCTGAAGACGATCTCATCCTTTGGCAGAGGGTTTGGGGTTGTGCTGTCTGGGTCTGGTTGCCTTGTGCGACAAACCCGGTCGCACGGCGGTGGAATATCTTTGGGAACTTGTCGGTAATGATGTAAGGGGGAGAGAGCGTAGCAAAAGAGTTGGTTAAAGAGGTGGATCAACGTACACGGTATTACACACGCACAAAGAGAGACCCGTTGCTGGCGTTGACGTCGGTGACTTTGAGGGTTTACTGAGCAGAGGGTTGGGCGGCGGCTCAATTTGGGTTTTGGGATACACATAATTGGGGTTGTACACATAGAGTCAAGGTATTAGGTCTCGGGTGGTATGGTGTCTTTATGGCTCGGAGTTCCGTGGCGTTACTTGTTTCGGGACGGATAAAGTCCTGCTAATTGAATGACACTCGTTGAACCGATTGGGTTGTCCGTCTTCTTATCTCCAGACCGGAAGCTTCTTCTACTGCCTGGTGGGCACCAACTGCGAATGTTATCATCTGACTGCGACAGCCGGCCAGGTGGTTCCTCGGATATAAGATCAACACGTAGCTTGGCAACTCAAACATGAGAGCAGAAGCATTATTCTCGGGTAGATGCCGTATCAACCTTATCAGCGACCTGCTTCTGTTCAAAGAACCTGCATAGCCTATCTATGAATGTGCAATCTGTACGAAAACCAGATGATCAAACTAAGACCTGTGCCCTGAGTGAGGTTAAGTTTAGTATCAGATCAACTGCGAGACGAGACCAAAAGTCCGAAGAAGTGTTTCTCTCAGGCCATCCTTCAATTTTCCGATGATGTTACCATAACTATGACCTTGACATGGGAAACAGTTGTTTGTCGACGATCTATCATGATGTTACTCTACGCATCTCTCAAAGAATTCCGCATAATTCAGTTCGTCCAGGTTGAAATAACTGAAGGACGCTACATCTGTAATAACGGACAGTATGATCGTGTCCTCCTTAGGTGATCTTGGCTTCTTTGCTTTGGCGTGAAAGCGTAACATCTTTAGTACTTAAGATACCAAGGTTATATTGAAGCACGTTCTGAATCTTCATGATACCTCAGACACAGCCTTCAAATTTACAAAATCCAAACCCTTCTTCATAATCATGGATTCCAATTAGCAATGCGCATACGGTTAGGTGCTCAGTCATCACGATGACCAGTTGTCAAATACCTGCCTGAAGTAGACGATGTGTGCTTAGAAATGCTTGTGAATTTCACTACTAATGATCCCCTTATCGCATCCTTCAGCTCAGCTTTCGAGCTGGCTAAGACGTGGATTCTTGAGCGGCGCCAGCATCCAGACGGCCTGTCTGACGAATTCGTAAAGCCGTGGTACTTAGTCTCTTATGCTTCTCATGCAATCAATATTCTTGCGCTCTCAAGATTTTATTTGATTTAAGCTTCTTCATTCTTTCTATCATTCGTTAGTCTTTCTTCGACATCCATTACATCGCCATGATTGCCGTCTCTGACTGTCGTCTACGGTCGTTGTCTCCGATCTTCGTCTTTCCGATCTTCGTCTTGAGTGGTCGTCTTGGTCGTTGTTCCTGTCTCTATCGCCTTGTTAGTTGCCCCCAGAACTTACTCTTCACCATTATACCGAACGACTGCCATCGAACTGCAGCAGTCATGGGTCCCGTCTCTTAGAAGCGGAGGCAACCATCATTCTTCGCTCCTTTAACCTTCTTGGCCTGGATTGTCCGTGGGATCCGCCAACCTAGCCTTGAACGCATCACGTATGTATCTTTATTGAACTCCAGTTGAATAAAGAATTTGTTCTCACACGCACGTACAGCATAAAACGCTGCTTGTACAATATGTCATAAGACTGAGACCATTTAGGCCCTTCAGTTTCAAACCAACAAAGCTCCTCTGCGAAAAGCTTAGCAAACCCGTGCCATTCGTTCTTATCGAGTAGCTCTTTGATGAAAGACTGGCAGGCGAGGTTCAATTCCCCGCAAAGCAGTTCCGTTATTGGCCCTCGAAATCTTTCAAGCCTAGAGATGTCGAAGAGAAAGAAGACGAGATTCAGCAAGCCAGGAAAGATAGCAGAATTCTTCATGGACGGGGAAGCGGACGTTGCTGGCTTGTCACTTTTTGATAATGCATAATGGGGAAAGATGAACTGGAACAAGATGGCATTATGGTGTTCTTAAGTTTGCGTTGCTGTGTGTGGTTAACCAACACCTAGGTTATCAGAAGACCATAAGGTGGTGTTCCATGGGTATGTGGCTTAATTAGACCATCTCAATCAAAAACCTCCTTTCGAGCAACCTCCTCGACTCAGACTACATAGATTTGCACAGTCAGTTGCATGAGGAGCGCCGACATCACCAACTAAACAGTCCTGAATTCTTTCTCTACCTCTGCTTTCACTCGTTCTTCTGGGTCTCCAGCCACAATCATGGCCTGCAAAATCGCCGGCTGCATCAACTGTTGCCCTTAAACTTGACTGGGTACAGACGAGAAGCCAGTGCCAGGCGTTCAAAAAGATGACAGTACTTCGCGGTCTGCGCGTACAGATAGATGCTGGCCGCGTAAAGGCACGCCTCAATTTTCCCAACTACCTCCCTTCAAAGCTGTAGCTAGCGATAAATACATGTCTTTTGGATCGCCGAAGTCCGTGTCGGAGTATTGGCCCGACGTGGTCAAAGGATTCCAACGCCGGCCGGGGCTGCCGAAGTGATATCCCTGAAAGCCGGACACTTTTGAGACCCCAAAACGATCTACACACCAGTAACACCCGTTCTCGCTTGGTGTCGCATTCGCTCAAAGCGTCAGGCCAAAACCCGAATAGGCCATGAGACACTTCCTACGGCCCTTCTTTAGCTTTTGCGAGTCATTCGGTTCGTCGCATGTTGAGTAGCTCTCAAAGCTTGTCTTCAGTCGGGACGTTCGTAAAGCTTTCCATAGAGAAATACTACCTACTAACCCGCAAAAAAAAGCGATTACGCGGAATGTGACACAAGTTACGGCCCAACAGACCCGAGAAATGCGCATGTTTCCAGCGCCTTATAGACTATGGAAACTTAATAATCCTTGGGTGATTTCTCGTCTGACTCGTCACTAGGTACTAGAGTTCACTCGCTAACATGACTGACCTTTTGCATATAAAGACAGTCAGTTTCCTTGCGATCATTGCTAGATGTCGCGCTGAGAGTTCCTTCTTATCCTATCGCGGTTTTGACGACGAATTTCCTTCCATCTATTGCCCATAAAATCATCAGCCATCAAGATGAGAGTTTCAGTGTCACTATGCATCTGTCTTTCCTACCTCGGCATTGCGACGGCAATTGCTGTGCCCAGCAACGGGGAAGCAGAGACTGCTTCTCAACTTCTGTAAGTCAATTCCCGTAAGAAGGGATCATCTCCAGTCACTTCCATCAAACATGTACACATCCCTAATCACGTATGATCCAGTACAAAACGGGCACAACAATGCCAATGTGATAGCACTGCAGCTACCAGAGACTGCTGCAAAGGGCTTGGGACGATGGGAGGTGGACTGAATCTGGAATGCGTAACCGACAAAAACAGCCAGTTCTTGTCGTGCTGCTCTCAGAAGGGGTTCATTGGGAATGTATGCTTTTAACTTAACGACGGCTGCGTAGCAAGCAAATTGCATTTCTCGTTTTATTCAATCAAAGGCCACATAGATGATGTATCTGTGCAAATAGTAGCTGGCTGAGTTCTTGCGGATATATCAAACTGTTCA